CCCCCCCCCATCCTACCCATCCCACCCCTCAACAGCCCGATCCACCAACCTCAAAAACTCCCCCTCATTCAAAAAAACATCATCCGCCTGCCAATTATGCGTCATACCCTCATACTCCCTCTCCTCCCCATACACCTGCAAATAGCGATGTCCCAAAAACTTCGCCAGCGCCGCAAATCCAAAATACCTCAGACCCGGAGGTTGAATTTCCACGACGGTGGATTTGGGCGGGAGAAATAATGTGTGAGTGAGTCCTGCGCCGTGGACGCCGAGCAGAATGTCGGTGGAGCGGAGTTTGAGAATTTGAGAGGGAAATGATGGGTAGGAGGCGAAATCGATGATTTCGAGATGGACGTGGGGGTGTGTGGTCGTGAGGTGGGAGTGGAGGGAGGTGAGGAGGTGGGATTGGTTGGTGAGGAGACGGTAGTTTTTGCGGTCGACGAAGACGAGGTTGAGGGGTGCTTTTGTGGTGGTAGTGGAGGTGTTTTGTGGTCGAGGAGGAGGGGAAAGGGGGATATGGTAGAAGTTTAAGATGCGGTTGACGAAGGCTTGCAGGAGGATAGAGGAGTTGCAGTTGGGGAGTTCTAATCTGCTTTGCCAAATGGGATTTTTCCCGCCTGCCAGTGGAAGGACGACGCGAGTGGATTTGAGTGGTGGACTGTCTGCGCGGCGAATGGTGGGAAGGTCTCCAAACATATTCCAGAGCTCGTACAAATGGCCTTCTTTATCCTGATCGAGGATCATGACTTGGGTATTTTTGACGTCTTCATCGGTGTAAAACGGTTGGCCCGTAGCCGGGTTGATGGTTGCTCGCATCACATCCAACGAGAGCCACAAGGACATCATCTGCATGAAAACATGCCAGACATTATTGATCACATTTCCTCCCTCACGCTTCACCAACAGTACCGTCCTCTCCGGAACATGCACAGCATCATCTGCCAATTGCACTGAAATCGACTCTGTGCCATTTCTCCTGAAATGCATGAACCTATCCAACAGATATCGCGTCCCAGTCCAATACCAATTATCCGCAATCCGATCCAGAGCTTGAGCATGTGGCTTCATCAGCTGTTTCTCTTCCGTCAGATTGCGAAGCGCACAATCAACATGTGCACCCGATTCCGGATCGAGCACGACCTGAGTTCCAACGCAAAAAGTATCTTCTTGACGATCTCGCCAGTAGGTCCAAGCATTGTGTGTAAAACACGTGAAAGAAGGTCGAGAAGAAGAGCCATCCTCACTCGCGGCAGCAGCAGCACACATATCCGTCGCACTCTCTCGAAATTTGCGAAGGTATGCTCCACCATATTGCTCTCCGCATGCATCATCGTCAAAGTCGAGGAGGATGTCTTTAGGATAGGCAGCCGACAGATGCAGATCATCATCGCCTGTGCTCAAGACCGTCGTCGTGATGTTTGAGGAGGCAGTCTCCACATCCGTAGCATTAATATCGACGACGATTCCAGGTGTCGAAGCGGTATTATTACTGTTATTGCCATGATATTCTTCTTCCGCCACGAGAAGCGTCGAGGATTTGCCAATGAACCAATCCGAGAAAGCTTGTGTCCGACCTGGAGGCGATGACCAGAAGAGAAGGGCGACGAGGAGAGCGGTAGTAGTGGTGCAGCAAATCGCCACGAGAGTCCTGATGCTCAGTGTTGTCTGCCCACCACCCCACTGCTGCTGCTGCTTCATAATAGCAAGTTGCAATTTTATAACAATCAAATAACGAAAGAAGACGAGGACGAGCAAAGACATGGAATCTTGCTAAACAAACTTATTACTTAGGTATTCACTAACCCGTTATCTGCTAGCCTTCGTCCCGTTGGGAAAGCTACAGCCTCTAGACTAGTAACGCCATCACACGAAGGAATGTGTTTTAGTACGCTCGCGGTATAAAGTTACAATACCTCCTACAGGTGCAGAAGGAGGCAGCTGTCGAAATGTTCCTATAGCCGACTTGGGTCACTTCGCGGTACACGCGGTCGATATGATCATATACTGATGCGACCACAAGACATTATTCCCATACAGACTCGCATGACTGATAATAACCACTTATCCTTCCAACAGCTCTGCTGAGGCCAAGGACGTCTAGAGAGAAAGATCTTCGGCTTCTTGTACATCGCCACCGCTATTGATCGGTACAGCCCGAGATTTCGTGCCGCCCGTGCCCTGCCACCCAATACAATACCGCCTACCGCCTCTACATCCGCGGCGGGGCTATGGGCAGCCCTTGGATTCGTCTAACCGCAGCCCTAGATATAATACACCCAAACAGTACGTAATATACCTACCTCCGCAGCTCCGCTAAGTCCACTTCTCGTTATCGACGTAAAATACTTCGAAGTTCGCCGCCTCCATGTCGCGGGCTACTACGACTCTCCTCTACGAATCTGCCTCGCTACTCGTAGAAGCCGATTATCTTATACATAGGATAATAGGTATACGTATCGTACGCTCGCGATTAATAATCGTATTTTGAAGGGGTAGGAGGTAAAGGCAGATTCGTAAAGGAGACGGGAGTCGCGACGGCGAGACTTGCGACAGGCTATAGCAGCAGCGGCAGCAGTAGCGATATAGAGGCTGGCCTCAGGCAGCGGAGTATATTACGTCGATAACGAGATGTCGAGGTGTGTTACGTCTAGGGCTGCGGTTAGACGAATCCAAGGGCTGCCCATAGCCTCGCCGCTACATCCGCCCACTTCGTCTTGGAAGAGTAGCGATCGTTCACGCTACCTCCTAGTTGCATTCTTCGGCAACGGCTGGGGATGTCTCGCCTCGTCCCGTCCACCGAAAGCACAACGGTCCGCTTCGTAGAGCAGATGCAGTAAACTCCCTTTTCCTCTTCTCCCCTTCACTGTTGTCCCATAAAACGCCCTGGAACGCCTCGCGCTGATGCATGCATACCGCTCTCTTTGCACCTCCCATCCTCACGACACTGCTCGTCTTATGCCAGGTTGTCGCTGCGATCCACCCACACATCCTCCAACTCGGCAAAGTTCTGGAAATGTATAGGTCGGTGCAAGTCGTCGTAAAATCGTCTGGGAATCCCCACTTGCACAAACACTCTCCCCTTCTCCCGCTCGCCGAATCCAGAGCCCAAGAAGCTCCAGTTCCATCTCTCATCCTCGGGTACCAAGAAATACCCGCGAATCTTATCCGACAGAAGAAGTTGACTCTTCTCGCCGAACGCTGTAGAGAAACCAGCAGGTTGGTCGCTTCCTAGATCCTTATTTTCCGCTCCCCATTGATATCCTTGCGGCGTGAGTGACCAAGCCGATAGAGAGACGGAGCCCGGAGTGAAGTTGACAGTCATCGTGACTGTCTTCCTGTCCCACGTAGGATGCGCGGCCATGAGCTTCGCGTGTTGAGTGACATCTTGCGCCGTCATGTAGTTCGTCTCATTGCCCGCCGCAGTGTGAATCACACCCAGCGCTTCCAGCCCGTGAAGCATCTCATTCTCCGGCAAACTCCTCGGAAGTTGAATATCGCGTGTCGAGCCCACTTGAGGAACCATGACAATGGTTTTGATCTCTTTGACTTGTTTGTTGTCGGGCGGTGAAGTGCCGTAGAGGAAGCCGGCGACTTGCACGCGGAGATCCGCAATGGCGATGAATCGTTTCAGAATGTTCTTGGGCATGACATACGTGAAGTGGTGTTCGTCGTCGCGAATGTCCTCGGAAGAGATGTAAATGTTGTTGGCACGAGTTCGAAGGTTGGATGTAGCAATGGCTCGTGTCCGCCACTCGGTCTTGGACGCGAAAGACTGCTGCTCGTACGCAGAAGTGGTCGTGACGATCATCTCCTCGCCCGATACATTCTGTGTCTTGGTCGTGACAGCAGTGAGCTGAGCTTGATCTTGTTGCGCCTTTTCGATTTCCGCGGCTTGCTGGCGTTGCATACTTGGTGCAGAAATCTCCATACCCAGAATGATATCTCGAATTTCCGAGTTCGTCAACGAAGACGTGTTGACGTTGTTCTTCTTGCCGTAGTCGTTCAAAATGAGATCTCGGAGCTGCACCTCGACCTTCACCCAGTCCTCGTCCGAGAGCGTAGGCCAGATGTGATGCTCCTGTGTGATGACGGTCTTGTCTGGGCGCAAGAGGAGCTTTGTCTTGTCTTGGTTGACATGCAAGGCACGCAGGATCAAGATCAATCGCGAAAAGGCAGTGTAGGAGGAGATGCTCTTCAGCCACTCATCGTACAGATTGAAGAGCACCATCTGTGGCTCAGTCGCACGCAGAATCATGTCTCCAAGCTTCTCCACCTTCATGGCAGCCTGGAACGGTAGCTGCAGTTCAGAGGCACGAATGCTGATGTTAGGAAAGTCGAGCAAGTGCACTTCCAGGGGATCAAGCAGACCCTTGCGGGTGACAATGAGCTGCTTCGGCTGCTCTTCCACAGGCAATGACCTGATCAGAGCCGCCACTTCTTCAGCCGTCTTCCACTTGGCAAGTTGGCCGAGACGCTTCTGTCCCGCCCAGACACTGGTGTGAATGATTTTCAAGAAAAGCTGTCCAGTTCTCGGGTTGAAGATGAAAATGGCCCCGTTGATTGGCTTCGTTGTAAGGTTACCTTCGAACGTCTTGTGGATGGTGACACGGTAGACATTGGTATCGTCAATGAAGAGCTGGATCTGGTTGCTGAAAAGCTCCGAGTAGTTCTGAGAGTTGAGGAATTCCTGGTTGCTCTCGGACGCGTACAACTGCAGGCCCTTCCGGATACGCTCGCGGAGCACATACAATGCAGGGTTGGCCTTCATGATCTTGGCCATGGCCTGCTGCACAAGCTGCTTGAGACCTGGGAAGTACTGCCCGTATGCTGAGTACAGGTTGTAGGCCAAATCGATACCAATCATAAGACCAGTGGCAGATGGGTAGATTGACATACTGTCAGTCGTGTAGTCCAGGTACTTCGCACGGACATATCTCTCAATGTCGTGGGAGTCGTAGTCTCCGTATCTCAGCTGCACATCGACCCAGAACTTGTTCGTAGTCGTCAAACCCATGTTGTCCTTGGTGTCGTACAGCAAGCTTGGGTTGCTCACGCTCCACTTGTGGGACGCGAAGAGCAGAATATCAGCACAAGACGAATTCATCTTGTACGACTTTCGGGGATGGATAGTCTCCTTCTGCACAGTCTCGATACCGAGGGCCTCGAGTTCTTGATCGAAGACCTGACACAGGTCCATGACGACCGATTCGTGGATCTTCTGCCACAAATGGGCACGGAATATCTGAATCAGGGAGATTTTGAGCGTGGGGATTTTTCCATGCAAGAAAATTCCAGTGAGATCCAGCTGAACCTGGAAACCGACATAGACATTGGCTCGGTTGATAGTAGGCGACCACCACAGCGTGAAACGACGATTGGGGATTTGGTTGAGACCAGATCGCTGGGCGTTGGTGAGTTTCTTGTAGCGCATGCTCTCTTCGAATCCTGAATTGTGCAAAACCAGATAGTCGTGTCTGAGATATGTTTGATCCTTGTCGACTTTGAACCCGGCCCATTTGGTGGATTGCGCCTCAAGTTTGATGTCCTTGATGGTGAAGGTGTTTCGGCAAGTTTGCACATGTGCACCTGCCTGTTTGAGTGGCAGCAGACATGGGATTTCCATCAAGTTGCCGGTGATCGTTGCACGGAGTTGGGGAATCTCATGTTGACCCGATGAAGCCAGGCAATTCTCTGGTTTCACCGAGACACCAAAGCCAAGCGAGCGGGCCAAGTAGACGACTTCCCAGAAGAGGTCCTTGTCACAACGCTCGCTCTGTGCGAAGGCGATGTGGTTCTGGGAATGTGCGTACCAGCCATTGGAATCGATAAAGCCAGCTAAAACGCGCAAACGGACGTCGCGAGAGTTGCGCATGTACATCGTTGGAATGCGCTTTCTGCCATCATGACCATCCGCCTCATTAGGCGTCAGAATGCCCAAGCTCCTCATTGCGACGAGGAGCGAATTGACATTCTTCGGTTGGCTCTGGCCCAACGCATCGCCAACAAGTAGATCTTCTTCGTCCTGGATCAACTCTCCATAGGCGGCCTTTCCGGTTTCCATGCGAATGATCTCGCAATCGCTAGAGATGACAAACCCTTCCTCAGAATCTTTTCCATTTCCATTCAGCGCAGGCAGTGACATGTCCATGGGGGAGTCGACCGGATCCTGGACAGCATCAACACTAGTATCGATCGTACCAGGGCGCAATCGTCTTGTTGGTGGAGGGGACGATGGCGTGGTGGAACCTCGCACATGCTTGTTTGTATCGTTCAGATCGTTCGGTTGATCGGAGGGAGGTAGGCAGAAACGCCCCTCATTTTTCCATCCATCGGCTAGTCGGCGCGCGTAGATGGTGTCGCGAGACTCCCGCACCTTGGAACCCAGACAGCCATGATTCGTAATATGCAAGTCGAGTTCGGCAGCATGAGCTACGATAAAGTCACGAATATGTTCCTCGTGGTCGTCAGTATTGGTTGTATCCGTGTGGTTGCCATTACCAATCCACATGCCCAAGAAGTACGGGGTCACCGAAACATCTTGCTCGGGCAACTCATGTCCAGCAGGCCTCAAAACACGGTATCTTGATCTGTCGCTTTCGGGAAGACCTGCGAATTCTTTGGCAGTCATGTACACCGTCTCGCCTTCGGGATCCTCGGATGGACCAGCGATATCCTTTCCGTGGTCTGTCTTCACATGGTAAAGCACAAGGATGTGATTAGAAGTGCAAACCAGGTCCTCAAAGTCTTCGCTGATTGAGATGCGGTATAATCTCTCTTCACCAGAGACAGTGTTGTAGACGCGGCGTGGTTGGCCATCGGGACCCAGGAGGAGATCGCCGTCCTTGACATCTTCAACCTTGACCCTGGAGTGGTCCAATCGGAGCACTTCAGTGCCGAATGCAAGACATGCTTTTTCCTATAAGGTGGTCAGCACGTGATGCTCATCTACTCCCATGTGCGTGGATGAGGGCGTATAAGGTGAAAGAGAGGGCGGTGCAGCAGGGAGTCGGCTTGCTTACCCAGAACAATCCTTCCCACGATGGGAACGCGGTCGCCTGTCATGTTTCGTCAGTAAATATCTTAGATATGGTGGCCATGTGCTGATCTCATACTTTGAACAGAGTATGCTCGAGAATGGTCTCGACACCCCCAAGAGCTTGAATGACATCGGTTCGGTATGCGTTCCTATGGCCTGTTAGCATGTACATGACACGTCGCAGGTTTGCAATACTTACAAATTCCACAATTTTCCGTCATGTCTCTGGCTCGTCCACCAGAAAGGATTACTCTTCATGTGCTGATAGAGCTTGAACTCCGTCCTGGCTCTGAATCCCTTGTCAAAAGACAAGGTACTTCTGTCCTTCTGGAACAGCGTATTGATACGTGGAAGACCACGATCCCAAGAATCCTCAAGATCCTCGAGCGTCAGGCGTCGATTCTGCTGGTTAGCTTCCAGCCTCTTCTGTGAATACTCTGTCCACACTCGCTGGGAGTCGATGAATTCTGCCTCCCACGGGATGATGTATCGGAAGATGTTGGGGATCAAGGTCTCCTCGTCGTGGCTCATGCCAGCTCGGAAATGGCTGACACCGCTATCGGTCTGCTTTGACCAACGTTTGTCGGAAGCTGGAATCAGGATGTGGGAGCCAGATATCATTCCCAGACCTCCTAGTTCTTTGGGTGTGTAGAAGACGGCTGGTGGGAAACGGGACGGCATCTTGGAGTTGAGGCCAATCTTCACACGGGTCTGAATCTTCGTCTCACATTTCACGATGGTGTCAAGGAGCTCCACTGTGCTGACGGCAGCTTCACGGTAGTAAGTGAAGAGGGCAATGAGGGTAGTGTTCCATTTGTTGGCGATCTTGGTGAAGGTCGTGCTACCGGAGCTCATAAGAATCTGTCGGATGCGGTTGTTAAACTTGGCGATGTCCTCTCCAGTGACCTGAAGGAAAGCGTGCGCGGTACGCTCCTTCGTGGCGTTGTCGACAAGGGCCCAGACCGAGTCCTTCGTTGGGAACTCATCGTTCTGATTGCGACTCTTGGGCAAGATACGGACCTCGAAACCATTCATGGCAAACAGAAGGTTCGGGTTGTCTCTACTGTAGACACTGGCGAAGGTGTCATCCCACTCGACAGTGGTGATGGAACGCGGTAGACGGTTCTTCATGTCCCAAAAGACAGCGCGACCAAGGTTGACATCGTGTCGCATGAGGCGCATGCGAGAGTCTCGAGGCCAACACTTCTTGTTCTTGTATCCGATAACGTTCTCAAAGTTCGGATCCGGCTGCTCAGTCAAAAAGCGCTGAATGAGATCTCTCGACTCATCTGCGGTGAAGCGGAAGAAGATCCATATCTTGTCAATGTAACGTGTGTACAGCCGGATAGGGTGGCGAGACTCTGTAGCTCTGTCGCGGAACTGTAAAAAGTCATTGGGTGCATTTGGAGGTCCAGCCATCTCCGAAGCGCGCTGCAGTCCGAGCAACAGCAGATCAATGATCAAGCCGTAGTATTGGAAGACGAACGCACTGAACTGCAGACCACGAATCATACCATAGCTATTGGTGTGATTCATGTCCTTGTAGTTCAGCTGCACGTTGTTCTTGGAAGAGATGTAATCCGCCAGGTTGTGGTCCATGATCAGACGCAGAAGCCTATTAAGCAGGGTAATATCGATCTTTTCATAGACCTTGTCCAACCGTGTCTCGAGCATGACATTGCACTCGCCCTCGCCAACACTCCAGACATTCGACAGGTTGTTGATGCCTTGAGCCCACTTGTAAGTGAGAAGAGGGGGCACTTCCGAGTCAGATGGCTTGATCCAGGCTGGGAAAAGTCGTCGCTGGTCTGCTTGGTACCACAGATACTGGTCGAGATATGCATCTGTGATTTTCTCAATAGGCTCAATGTCGTACACTGGATTGATCGAGCTATAGTTGTCGTTCATGTCAATGCCGACTTCCTTGAACGAACGCTGCGTAAGCAAGAATCGCTTGATACGCGCGAGTGTAGTGCCAGGGCTGTCATAAGCTTGCTCGATGAGTGCCAGTTCTTCACGCTGGCTCTGGTTCAGCCTACCCTTGACAGAGTATGCTTCTCGCAGACGCTCAAGAGCCAGGATGAGAATCTTGGTGTCGTGCTTGTAGCTAACAGATGGGAACGGAATGGGCTGGAATTTTCTGCTCTCCAGCCAATGCACCGCAGTCGTGAAGATGGCAACACCCTCCTCGGTGCTGACATATGGACCGTCTTTGAGGTAGTTGTGTTGTCGTTCTTGCTCAGCCTTGAGCCAAAGACGAGTGAGACGTCCCAAGTTCTTCTTCGCAACAGTTTTATCAACAGTAGCACCACGCCGGATACGCTCGCGGTTGTAGTGTGCGACAGATACCCACCAGTCTGCCTTTGACTTGACGTATCGCAGAATGACATCTTCGATAGGCTTGGGCAGACCAGGCACCTTCCAAGGAATATTTGACTTCCAGCATCGCCACGCCTCAGACAAATGCTGCAGAACAGTGTTGACCTTCTGCTGCTTGATACCCTCGGGCATCATATCCATCAGATCTGCCATGACCGATGCACGCAGTTCAAGATCGAAGTGCGACTCGACACGCTGCTTGGTGACAGTCTTGGCCACACCCTTCGAGTGACGACCCTCAAACTGTCTGCTGAGCAGGTTGCCCAACCATCGTTCGAGCAGTGGAATGATACCACGCAAGAAGAAGAGCCACACCCTCCATGCCGGTGCCCAGAATCCACAGCCAGGTCCCTTACCAACTGGTCCACTGTTGAACCTGTAGTAGATCAAGTGCTTCAAGTCTTTGCAGGACCGAATCTGGTGCATAAGCTTGTACTTGTACCGGTACATACCCGTCAGCTGTCCAACGTGGTTGAACGCGTAAAGGATGCCGTCTGCGAGCTGGAAAGCATCAATGTTGCCCATGCGGTACTGGACTTGAGCATCAACAATGAGCTTCGTCAGCCGCAGAATCTCACGCATGAGATGGAAAGCATTTCCAAATCGAGACTTCTTTCGCTCCTTCGTCGTCAATGTCTTGATGGGCTTCAAGTTGAAGTTGTAGTCGAGATGAAGGTAAGTCAAATTTTTGCGATGAATGAGCAGATTCAGCATGTTGAAACCTTGCCGGCAGACCTGAAGACCAGCTTCTACCCAATCGATCGTGGTCTGCTGGAAAAACTTGGTTCTCTTCAAGTTGCGGCCTAGTAACTGCTTATTCTGTGCCTTTGGTGGCTTCTTGTGCAGCTCGTTCAAGACGTACGTCTTGAGCAACTTCTGGTAGGAGACTCTCACCTTCACAGGCTGTCCTGCTGGAACGTGCTCAAGATACCACTGTTTTACCAGCGGCACATCTTGTGCTCGCACCATCTTTCCCGAACGCCTGTCGAATGGGTATGGTGCCCACCACAGCGCGATTGCTGCTGCAGTCTCGTCGTTGAATAGATCCTCGTCATCCAAGAATGGGTCGACACCCTCTGGCATCGAGAAACCACCATCTTCTTCACCTGGCTCCTCATTGTTACCATGGCCGAAGATCTCATCCTCGTGGCTGATGGTCAAGTTCTTCGGCATGACCTGTCTCGAGGAGATAGGGTTGATTACAGGATCGAAATAGAATGGTGGGAGATTCGGGTCTTCGGTCTTGACGTAGACTGTCTGTGGGTAGCTGTAAACCCCAAGCTTGACAGATCTGGGCAAGCTGTTGTACAGGTATGGGAACGCCACTCGATACTCTGTTCTGATGGGCGCCCGGAAAATTATTCGATCAATCGCATTGAACTCGCCGAAATCCTCGTCATTCGGATCAATGTCTTTGTACAGAGGCTCGAATCGTGGTCCACCAGGTATAGCAACATTTAATGCCTTCGCGGTCGCGAAAGCGGGCATGTCGAAGAGATGGAAATAGTTCTTGTCGTTGGTGTCTGATAGAAGAGGGTTACTCAGTCGGTGCAAGGTGGCCATCTGTGGTAATGACAGGTTCCAGTCCTTGTAGCTGGGACCGCCAACATGACTGGTGTCCGAAAGTGGCCGATGATCGTAAAACCACTCAAACACAGGCTCATCCTCGTTCTCATCCAGCTCCATCTGAATGGGCTCCAAGGGTTCCACATCTTCGATATTTTCGCTCCATGACAGCGGTGGTTCCTCATCATCAAAGGGAGGGAAGCGCATGCGCTTGAAATGTCTGCGGTCGCTCTTTTCTCGTCTCATGACAACCCACATGGTTGCCCACTGCGCGTGAAACACTGGCTCAATGACTCTCGGAATCTCGTTGACCAACGTCAAACAGCCATTCACGTGGTACAATACCTTCACTTCACGACTGCTCTCCCAAGGCATGGGCATATTCTCCAACAGCTTAAGCACGGCGTGCGGCATAAACTTCAGAGCTCCCAGATAGCTCCTCTTGTCTGCACTGAACTTCTTCTGCGACACGTCTCCAATGTCCTTGACAATCTTTCGTAGATGCTCCGGAGGCATGTCAGCCTTTTGTGTCTCCACGAAACCCCCCCTCCGCTTCTCGCCAAATCGTTGCCTCTGCTGTCGCAACCATTTCTGCTTCTTCTGTTGGAGTTTTTCGGCTTGGGGATCCTTCGCAGGCACGGCTCCTGGTGGCGGAGGTGGTATGCCACTCGATGATAGTCCAGGTGGAGCTCCTGGAGGTGGTGGAGGAGCCCACCCTGGCGGCGGTGGAATGCCCGCCATGATAGATGTCGTGGTGGAAGATGTTCCTGCGCTGCGGCTTCCGGCGCCGAGCTCGCCTTATCTGTCGCTCCTGCTACACTGCGCAGCCCCCGTTTACGCGTCGAATCCAGGAGGAGAAATGCTGATAGTATAGCGGATGCGCCGTGGCCTGCGCGAGTGTTGTGATGGGTGGAGGTGGCGTTCGTCTCTACAACGCGCTCGCGGTTTTTCGAGGAACGTGCAATGCGTACACGAGTCAGCCACGGACACGGGTAGCTCCGCACTGATTCTCAGGCATTCAGGCATCAAGAATCAAAACACCTTGTCTCTTGCTTGTTCAAAGCCTGGACGATGCGAAATTGATAGAGAAACATATTAGATCACAGAAAATTGATCACTGGAGTGGTTTTGACGACGATCTCATGGCTTCCCACGCCGTTGTACGATATTGAAGCGCAGCTTGCCGAGTGTCCCAGTGGTTTTCTCAGCTTGAGCGGGACTAGAGGGTAGAAGAGATCTTGGCACGTTCAAATTCGCGCACTTGTCTGTTGAAAGTGAAGCACGTCGACGACATCAGCCAAATTCCTCTCCACCACCCAGCGACACCGAATCGACTCCGACACAATGGGCTCCAGCAGACTCACCTTCGTACGTCCGATCCGAAACACACGCTTCGGCGACGAGCATAGCGCGAAATGAGAGGATACAACCAGAAAAGAGGCTAATGGGATACTGTGAACAGCGCCGCCGGGTGTCGTACAACACCAAGAGCAACAAAGTCCGCATCATCAAGACGCCAGGTGGTGAGCTCCGATACTTGCACATCAAGAAGAAGGGAACTGCGCCCAAATGTGGTGACTGCGGATCCAAGCTTGCAGGTGTAGGTCTTTCCCGAAACTCTTCCACGAACAATTGGAGTATTCTCTCTACCACGGATAGAGGCATGGAGGCGTGGGAGCAGAGAATAATGGAGGGGATATTGAGAGAAGATGTCAGGCTGACATGGTGTTGTGTCACAGATCCCAGCACTCCGCCCACGCGAATACTCCCAGATCTCGCACCCAAAGAAGACTGTTCAGCGCGCATACGGCGGGTCGCGCTGCGCCAACTGTGTCAAGGACCGCGTCGTCCGCGCATTCTTGATCGAGGAGCAGAAGATTGTCAAGAAGGTCATGAAGGAGGCCGAGAAGAAGCAGACTGCCCGCCGATAGATGGACTCTTCTTGTTTGGGGGAATTTCACGGCGCATGATGGATGGCAGGTGGCAGGAATGAGCGACCGCGATACATCACAAGCATGGCCTGGCGCATCCTCAGGAAGCTAGGCTGTCGTGTCGAACAGGATGGGAGCACATGAATGAAAGAGCTGCCAGTTGATACTTGACGCTGATGCTGCGGTAACGTGAGCTACTGAATGAAATCCGTTCGGGCAATGAAGAAATGTTTATTCGCCATTCCTTCTCACCTACATGGTCAGAAACAATACGACGAATCCTTGTGGCTGGTCTGGCTGTGCGCGGTCGACTCAACAGCACGAGAGACAAAACGTCGTGTTTCTTTTCAGTGACAATCTATACCCGACCCCCATCAACATGAGCGAGTGTTGACTATACCGGGACAGAAAAAAGCTTCGAAATGATGCATGAAATGATGAGTGCATTTCGTATTGTTTTGCTAACGCACTGAATAGGCTTCCACCTCCTACAGCAAAGCACCCGCAACCACCATTCCAATCGGCACAACAACCTTGACAACCTCTCTCACACTCGTCGCTCTAGCAGCGCTCTCCACCGTCCCAGTCGGACTAGGGAACGCCGTCGCAGTACCACAACTCCCTGTCACCGCTGCCAATCGCCCAACACCTCCCGTGATCGGAACCTGAGCATACACCAAATCACCACCCGAGAGTGTCGTCTGTCTTCTGGCCGTCGAACTCTTCCCATCAAAAGAAATCGACTCGTACAAATTGCACACAGCCGTGTTGTAATTTTCCATGGAACACGATTGCGAAACGGAAGCTTGCCCCTTTTCTCCTCCTTGAGAATCGCTGACGGAGTTTTGGAAGTTGAAAATGTATTCGGTCGGGCGTGCCGTGGCTGTGAGCTGACGGTGGCGGTGACAAGAGAAAAAGGTAGGTGTGGTCAGTTTTGTGGAACGTTATCAACAACAACATAACTATCCGGCGAGAATCCAACATACTGTCACTGCTTCATCTGGACACAACTCTTGACCGGCACAGGTCAGAGCCAAAATCGTCTCGCATGGAGCTGCGGAGACAACTGTGCCAGAGAAACCTTGCGTGAGAGTTCCGAGAAGTAGACCAACGGTCGTTGTTGTAGTTTCGATCTCATTATTATCATCATTACCGCCGAGCGATGTTGTTGTACTTTGTGTAAACGCTGTCGCTGCAAGAGCACATGCAACTAATACTGTGAAAAGGTTTCGTGACATGGCAACCAAATGAAAGCAGCAGCAGCAGGAGGAAGCGAATGGGTAGAAATTCTCCTGTCAAGAATCAAAGACGGACGAAAAAAAAAAGAAACGAGACCAAGCTGGTAGAAACAAATTATTCGAAGAGCAGAATCTACTTACTGAGAGGCATTGAGAAAGTGTGATTCGCTTTTGCGTACGAAATATGCCGAGCGACTGGTGAGATTTGGTCCGGTTGATGGCGTCTTGATATTCTTGGCTATACCCATGCCAGCTGGCTTGGCTGGAGTAAGTCCTTGACAACCTCATCTCGGAGAAGGAGAGAGAGAGAAAGAAAGAGAGAGGGTGGGTGCAGTAAGAAAATGGTATCGTCAGCAATCCATTGCTATAGACAGATTCGCTCCTTTGACCAACGCTGGTATCTCGCGCACGAAAGAGAAAAAAGAAAAAAAAAGAAAAAAAAGAAAAAAGAAAAAAGAAACTAACATCCTTCACTACAACACCTCTCATAGGTAAACACCAGTAAATCCCCCCGAAGAAACAGAAAAAAAAAACATCCTCAAACCAACCCTCCCGCCCCAGCAGCAACAACCGCCGCCCCAACCGGCACCAAAATCTTATACAAAACCTCCCCAACCCTCGCCGTCGGCACCGCCCCAGCCGACGACGTCCTCTCCGCATCCTCATCCCCCCTCTCCGTCTGCGTCGCCGCCGCAGCAGCCTCAGCATCACAAGTCGCGCCCGCCGTCGGCAAACTGCTCGCACCCGCAGTAATCGGCACAGGAGCATACGAGAAAAACTCTGCATCATCCGTAATCGTCGCCACAGTGGCAGAAGAAGTGGAAACTCCTGCGATGGAGGCGTATACGGATGCGGTACAGGTCGCTCCGGTGAAACTTCCGGAGGGACCGTCGAGGTCGCAGGATTCGGCGATGGTGATGAGACCTCCTGCTGTGGAGGTTGCGTAGATGAAGGCGTAGGCGGAGGGGCCGAGGATTACGGTTGCCTGGGGGAGAGGAGAGTGTTGTTAGAGAGGGGTGGGTGGGGGAGAAGATGGGGTGTTTTTGGTTTTTGATTGATTTCTTCTGTTTTTGGTTGTGATTCCAATTCCCATTTTTTCCCACCAAAAAGAACGGGACAAAAAAAAAAGTAAAAACCCACAGTAACATCAGGAACCAACACACACACATCCACCGGATTCGGATCCTCACTATCACAGACCACAGCAAGAGTCGTCTCGCAAGGATTCGCCGAAACGACACTCCCCACGAAACCCGTCGTCGCAGAGCCGAATAGGGCTGTAATCGTCGTTTCGGCATTATTGATTGAAGGTGCAGAAGTCGTCGTAGTGGTAGCAGTCACATCTGCAGAGCTGGCTGTGGTGCTGGAGGAGGAGGAGGAGGAGGAGGAATCTTGCGCGAGAGCGGAGAGAGCCAGAGAGGAGGCCATTATGGCGAGGAGAGAAAATTGTGGGCTGAACATCTTTGATAGAAAGCGCGGAGGGAGTCTGTGAGTGGTGTTTCTTCTTCTTCTTCTCCCTCTCCTTTCCCAAGAAAAACAGTAATTCAGGTCCTCAATCCTTCTTCTCAAAATCAAATATATATCATCCCAAAGTCACCCAATAGCCTCACCACTCCACCTATATATACACATATCCCTATAAATCCCCATATACCCAAAAACCATCACACCTCTCCTTATATGGACGGACCTCCTCCTCCAACATGTCTTTCCAGCCGCAGCTACCGCAGTACCACACAGCCCCTCCGTCGACGGTCGACGCCACAGCGCTCTGTGACTCGCCAAGTTCTTTGGCTGCAACAAAACACTACATCCTAAAGTAGGTACCTACCGTACCTCTCTCCTCCGACCACGTGTTTAACGCAGCCACGCGCGAAGGAAGAGGGACACTACATTTTCGCTTAATGTAAACGTTTTGGGAAGTACAAGAAGAAATTCAATGCATCCTTTTCGTATCGTAAATATGTTCTAGTTGGCTAGCTCTATACTGTAGATTAGATCTTATAGGGCGCTTAGCTTTCGCTTCCGCTTTCGCTTCCTAGAAGGATCGGCCTCGCTAACCTCTTTTCCTTCTCATTGGATAAAAACAATCAATCAAACAATTTAATTCAGTTCAAGTATATCTTCACCGGTGCCGGTCCATTCCCTCAACGTCAATCCCGATCCCGATCCCGATCCCGATCCTATTCTTCTAGCCTCGCCGTAGTCTAGGCAGCAGCTGAGCCCGTCCCGTCCTAGACAGCTGAACCCGTCCTAGGCAGCTGAACCCGTTTTATTGATTGATTGAGGGCAAGCAGCTGAGCCCGTTATTGATTGAGGGCAAGCAGTGTTGGGAATAGTGTTAGTAACTAGTAATTAGTAACAGTTTAGTAATTACTATTACTAAAAAAACCTTGAGTAAAAGTAAATAGTAAAAGTAATAGTTAGGCCTTAAAAATAGTTTTACTAATTACTATCGTATATATATAATAGTAACAGTAATTAAATAGTTTAACTATAGTAATACTATAGTAAATAGTAATACTATGTAGTATTACTATATACTAATTATAGTATACTTACCTTATTTTGTTTTATATAGTATTCGGGGAATTATATACGGCGGAAGCAAAAATTCTAAATAGCGGAAGGCCAAATTTGCCTAAGGCACGCTATGTCTATATCGTACCTCCTACCGTATCTATCGCTATATCTATATTGCGCTGTATATCTATTACGCTGTATATCTATTGCGCTATATATCTATCGTACTATATCTATCGCGCTATATCTATCGCGCCGTATCTCTATCGCGCCGTATCTCTATCGCGCCGTATCCGTTGCCGTATCCGACGCTACGTCCGTCGCCGTATCTATCTCCGTATCTATCTCTTAATTGCCTACCTAGTAGGGTATCTCTATCTCTATCTCTTAATTACCTAGGCATTTCTATCTCCGAGCCTATTTCTTAATTGCCTAGACAGGTATCTCTATCTCTACCTCCGTCTCTTAATTCCCTAGAGACCTTGTCTTGCCTTAGTTCTTCTAAAAGTAGGGAGATAGTAGGTAGTAAAGGAATATACATTCTGCCTTAGGCAAATTTGGCCTCCCGCTATTTAGAATTTTTGCTCCCGCCGTATATAATTGCCCGTATAAAAGACAATAAAGAAATATAGTAGTAATACCTTTAATAAGATAACTATCTAAATATACAATTATATAAGAGCTAGATTTAGTTAGAATATAGTATATATCTAGTAGAAGCGGGCTCTTACTTAAATATATATAGCTATAAGTATACTATATACTAGGTATATACTAGGTATATACTAGGCGTATATTAGGTATATACTTAGATTTATTCTTTAAGAAGGCAAGAATATAAGAATTAGTCTATATAATATAGTACTACTACTATATTAGGGCCTTTATAAACGTCGAGCCAGTAAATTTTAAACGTCGGGCCCAAAGTTTGCCTTAGTTATAATATGCCTTAGGCAGAAGATATCTCAAAATATTTCTCTTAGGTATTCTATCTCTCTCTCTCTCTCCTTTCTAGGTAGGTATTTTGCGTCTCGTTCCTCTCGTTGCTCTTATTCCTCTCGTTGCTCTTATTCCTCTCGTCGCTCTCGTCGCCCTCGTTGCGTTACGTTACGTCGCGTCGCTCTCGTCGCGTCGCGTCTCGTCGGTCTCGTCGTATCTTGTCGGTCTCGTTATATCTCGTCGGTCTCGTCGGTCTCGTCGGTCTCGTTAGTCTCGTCGGTCTCGTTAGTCTCGTCGCGTCTCGTTAGTCTCGTCGCGTCTCGTCTCGTCGCGCTCGTCTCGTCTTGTCTCGTTGCGCTTGTCTCGTCTTGTCTTGTCGCTCTCGTCGCTCTCGTCGCTCTCGTCTTGTCTCGTTGCTCTCGTCTTGTCGCTCTCCTCTCTTGTCGCTCTCGTCTCGTCTTGTCTCGTCTTGTCTTGTCTTATCGCTCTCGTCTCGTCTCGTCTCGTCGCGCTCGTCTCGTCTTATCTCGTCGCGCTTGTCTCGTCTCGTCTTGTCTCGTCGCGCTCGTCTCGTCTTGTCTTGTCTCGTTGCGCTTGTCTCGTCTTGTCTTGTCGCTCTCGTCTCGTCTTGTCTTGTCGCTCTCGTTATAGAAGCAGGTAATATACGAATATTCTGCCTTAGGTACATAATGCGGCCTAAGGCAAACTTGGGGCCCGACGTTTAAAATTTATTGGCCCGACGTTTATAATGACCTCTATATTAGTCTAACTAGTTTATTATATATATTTACTCTCTTATATACTAACTCTTCTTTAGTTCTTAGAGCTTTACTATTATATAATATATATATGACACGCTAGGGCAGAGAAGCCCTAGCGAACCCCCGGCGAGGCGGGCGGGGCGTACCGCGTAGGACGGGAAGCCCTCGCGGACCTCCGGCGATCCGGTATAGAAGGGATACCCTACCGATCGGAGACGTTCTAAATTAAGAGGGTTCCTAAGGGAACCGGTTATCGGCTGCTACCTAAGAGGAGGCGGTGCCGGTAGCGAGGAGTAGACAATAGAATAGCTTGTATATATAGCGAGGGCCCTCCTCTAGGAAGGAAGGGCAGAGTTATTGTACCTTAGTTAGCAAGCCGTATATTGTTTATACCTTTTATACCTTAGACCTCTGTTACGTATACCCTTATACTTATAGAACTATTATATAATAACTCTTGTACCTTAACTATAAGGGAAAGGTCCGAACAATAGTAGGAGGATGTTCTACTAGACAGAATCCTAGCGACTCGCCGGGGAACCCCTCTATACTAGAACAGGCCTCTACTAAATAATCTTCCTCTACAGATGTCGAAGTAGGACGAGTTTAGGAACTACTCGACTAGGAGGAATCTATAGAAGCTCTCGCTAGTATTTAGCTAGAAGACGCGAACGATTCCGAGCCGGAAATTATCGTTAAACACGAGGAGCTAAGCGACCTTTAGAAAGACATCGCCCGCCTACGGGCGGAAAAGGAACGTCTACTACTAATCTAAGAAGTAGCCGACCTCTAGAGTAGCCGCGGTTATAAGCAGTATACTATAGAAACCGATATTGCCCCTCCTCCTAAACGCTCGGTAAAAGCTCCTAGCGAATACGAGGGGAGGTCCTTAAAAGAATATAGCGACTTCGTAATATCGTACGAAGTCGTATTCCTCTAGAATCTACGATCCTTCTAACGGGAAGCCGAGAAGTATATCTAGGCAATATAGTACCTCTCTAAGGGGTATACCCCGAAGGACCGCTAGTATGTATACTAGTAGCGGATAACCGAGGCCGAGCGTAAGGATATAACTTAGGATAACTTTAAGCAGTTCCTGCTTAACCTCCTAGACGATCCTAACGCTTGACTACTTTAGGCTTACCTAGACTACGCGTCCGCTAAATAATATACTAACTAGTCTCTAAGGGAGTTCCTAATATACCTAGAGACTCTCGAGGTATAGCTAGAATAGTATACTCTAGAACAATAGCTATACTAGTTCTTCGCCCGGTTATACCCGGAGACCCGCCGACGGATCGTCGATTATAATTCTATCCCTAAAATACGGGACGAGTTAGTTAATCTAGCGACCTAGATCGAGAAGAACTACCCGAGGACCTAAGGCGGTAAAGGGCGGACTAGTAGTAACAAGCTAAAATCTAAAGATCGAGATCGCCGGGGAGACGCTAGGGAACTGCGTACTAACGCGGCTAAAGCCCCGAAATCGGGCGCTACTACGAAAGCTGCTCTAGACAAAGGGGATTACTTAGGACTAAAGTGCTACGAGTACGGTAAGATAGGTTACATTCGCCTAGACTGCCCGTTAAAGTGCGGTAATCCTAACCGGACCCCCGTCTAGCTAAAAAACTAATTGGGCTCGTCGCGAACACTTAGGACGTAATAGGGCCCCGACCTGTTAAATCTAGGGATATTGTCGAAACAGTAGGAACTGTTATTACTAGCGAAGGTATAAAACCTATACAGGTCGCCCTCGATACGTACGCCTAGGTAACTACGATTAGCTAGAAGGTAGCGGTAGAAATAGGCCTACCCCGAATCGAGGCCTAACTCCTATTACTTAGATAGCTGTCGACCTACGAAACCTACTACTACGGCGCCTACGAGTTCTAGTTAAAACTTAGCGACTCTAGTATAGACACCCGAACTACGAAGATTCTCGCCTATAGTATCGACTAGGACAGACCTTCTATCCTCCTTAGCCGGTATTCCTTAAAGACCCTAGGTATCGATATCTAGAACGGTCCTAGTATATAGCGATAGGGACTTACAATCTCTAGCTTCGAGAGGGTCTCCCTAAAGAGGTTAAAGCGCGAATCGAAGGAAGACTCCTCCTCTATCTATTAGTAGGGTAGTTACGCCTAGCGAACCCCCGGGGAGGTTAGGGCTCGACCTTCTAGATTTACGCGATTAACTAAGGCGAGGCAAAACAAGTCTCCCTACCCGCTATATTAGAAGGATATCGCTATATATTCGACAACGACTCCGCGGCGATCCTTCCGGCCTATAAGGCAACCGACTATACTATCGAACTAATAGATAGTAAGGAACCGCCCTTCGGATCCCTCTACTATCTCTCCTAGCGGGAGCTAGAAGTCCTCTAGGAATACCTCTATAAGGAGTTAGAGTAGGGACGGATTGTATATAGTACTAGCCCCGCTAGGGCTCTGCTACTATTCGTACTAAAGAAGGACGGGACCTTACAATTATACGTCGACTACCGCGCCTTAAATTCGATTACTATTAAGGACCGATGCCCGCTTCCCCTTATCGACGAAAGCCTTACGCGCCTTACTAGCGCTAAGTACTTTACCTCTCTAGATCTTAAGGACGCGTACTACCGAATCCGTATCCGCGAAGGCGACGAATAGAAGACCGCGGTCCGCTTTCAGAACGCAATATAGGCACTTCGAGTATAAGGTAATGCCCTTCGGGCTAACTAACGCCCTAGCTACATTTTAGGCGTACGTTAACCGGGCCCTCGCCGGGCTGCTCGATAACATCCTAGTAGTATACCTAGATAATATCCTTATCTATACCTACTATAATAACATCGAAAAGTACTAGGAGGCGGTTCGCCGGGTACTCGCTAGGCTAGAACAGGCTGAATTGTTCGTTAACCTAAAGAAGTGTACCTTTGCGCAAAGCGAGGTATCGTTCCTTAGATTCCGAGTAAACCGTAAGGGCGTATACACCGACCCCGAGAAGGTCGCTACTATTACTAAGTAGCCCTCGCCGACTAACCTAAGGGAACTGCAGTTATTCCTTAGGTTCGCTAACTTCTACCGCCGTTTTATAGCCGGGTACGCGAAGGTAACAGCCCCGATAACTAACCTCCTAAAGAAAGGCGAATTTCAGTAGACGGAGGCTAGGGAGGCGGCGTTTCAGGCGTTGAAACAGATGTTTATCTCCGCCCCTATACTCCGCTACTACGACCCGGCGAAGCCCCTACGACTAGAAACCGACGCGTCCGACTACGGCCTATACGGGATCCTAACGTAGCTCTATAACGACCGGTAGCACCCTATCGCCTTTACGTTAAGAAAGATATCGCCGGTAGAGCGAAACTACGAAACGTACGACTAAGAGCTCCTCGCGGTCGTCTATAGCTTTAAGGTCTAGAGACACTTCTTCGTAGACGTATATACCCCGCTATAGGTATATACCGATCACAATAACCTAAGGGGTATCTAGATAGTATAGAAGCTAAACGGGCGACAAGCCCGATAGGCGGTATATCTAGGCTAATTCGACTTCGAGATATACTACCGGCCGGGGAAGACTAACCTAGTAGATAGCCCTTCGAGACGAGTAGACTATTAGACCGAGAACGACGCGGTTAATCAATTGCTGCTAACCCTCTAGTATAAGCTCAAATTGGCCGACCTAGGTATTACGGTAATAGCTATACGAATCCGTAACGGTAAGGTTAGTATAGTAAGTAGCGAGGAGTCTATAACCGAAATTTCGGATACGCCCGGCGAACCCCTAGCGCCGTTACGCGATACAACTCCGGTCGCTAGTACTAGTAAATGTATGTACTACGTACTACGCTTAACAGTAAGGGTTCTACTCGCGAGCTAGACTGCAAGCGGCGACGTAGGGCAACCCTTTAGAAGTCTCGTAGCCTCGCTATAGCAACGGGACGAGTTCGTCGCCTATAAAAGGAACGAGTAGAAGGATGCCTAGCGAACCCGCCGCGGTAAGCTAGACCCCTAGATATTCGATAATAAGAACCTACTATAGTACTAAGAGAGGCTTTACGTCCTAAATAAGCCGGCCGTCCGAGTAGAAATTATAGCTAACTTCTACGACTCCGCCCTCGCTAGACACTTCGGCGAAGACAAGACGCTAAAGTTAGTCTACTGCTCGTTATATTAGCCGGAGCTCCGATAGGATATAAGAGAATACTACAAGATATACGATATATACTAAAAGGCCAAGGTACCTAGGACGATACTATTAGAGGAGCTAAAATCGCTTCCGGTACTAGGAAATGTATAGGAGGAGATCTCTTTAGATTTTATTACTAAGTTACCCCCGGCGAAGCACTATAGGGTAACGTACGACTCTATACTAGTTATTGTCGACAGGCTGTCGAAGATGTTATTATATATTCCGGCCTAAGAAACGTAGACGGTAAGGGACTTTGCTAAAGTGTTTATAACGTATATAGGTACTAAATTCGGGCTCTCTAAGGGAATCGTTAGCGACTAAGGTATACTCTTTACCTCGGTATTCTAGACCGAGATTTGTTACTAATACTAGATAAAACGACGGCTAAGTACTGTATACTATCCCTAAACAGACAGGCAGACGGAACGCTAGAATTAGACGATAGAAGCTTACCTTCGGATGTTTACGTCTAATAGACAGGACGACTAGGCGTCCCTTCTACTATATACGGAATTCGTATACAACAATACGGTATACGCGACTACCGGCGAGACGCCGTTTATAATAGTATATAGGAAACATCCCCGGTAGTCCGTATTAGACGTAGACGTCTACTATAAAGGGGAGGCGCCGGCAGTATCGGACAAAGTCTAGCTGCTAGAACGGGTACGAGCGGAAGCGGCGACTCGTATATAATAAGCGTAGAAGCGATAGTAGCGCTAGTATAACGACTACTATACTCTGTAGACGTTCGCTAAGGGAGATCTAGTACTCCTAAGTACAAAGAACTTAAAACTGACTTAGCCTAGTAAGAAGCTGTCCCTTAAATTCCTAGGCCTATTCCGGGTTAATAAGGTAGTCGGCGACAGCTAGTAGGCATACCGGCTAATCCTACTAAATACCTACTATATATACCCGGTATTCTATATCTCCCTCCTACAACCCTTCTACGAAAGGCCCGGCGCTCCGCTAGCGAACGTAGCGTCCTCCGATATCGCCGCCGATAGTACCGAGGTATAGGAAGTAGACAAGATAGTAGACGAAAGGAAAAGGAAGGGGGAGACGGAATACCGACTTAGATAGAAAGGGTACGATAAGGACTTTAACACTTAGGAACCTAAGGACAACTTCGAAAATATAAATAAGCTGCTAGATAAGTAGAGATCATCGCGGGTATCCCCTAAGGGAGCAAGCAGTAGACAAAAGAAAAGTATATAGTATAAGACAAACTATTATAACCCTAGTAGACCCCCGGCTACCTTCTACTAAATATGCTAAATATCCCGCTCCTTATACGCGAACCCCCGACGCTACCCTCTGCCGAAGGCGCTTCGGCTATAGCGTAGTCGCTTACTAGTACCGGCGTAGGGTCCCGGGTACTCCCCGAGGCCTTAGGCGCTATATACCGGACAAGACCTCCGAACTCGTAATTATCTAGGTATTCCTCTCGCTAGAACCCGTAATCTGCCTATATTATAGCCTATTAGCGGGCCCGGTACGGAGGCAACCGATAAATCTTACGTAGTAGTACTAGGACTTCCGCGTCTAGAAGAAAGCGACGAATGTCCCTTAGGACGGCTACTAACCCGTTATAACCTATATTCGATATCGACCGCGGATCGATATCGGGAATCTGATCCCCGCTAATATTAATAGCCTAACCCTACTCCTCCGGGTCGAAAGAGGACTCAACCTCGCGGCGAGGCGATATAAACAAAGGCGGGCTAGGGTAAGTTTCGGCCGTCGGGCTTAATTACCGACGAGCCGGCGACAACGGCGCGGTTCTGAAGGCGGCGGGAGGTAACGGACGCGATAGTAGTATAGTCGCTAAGGGAGAGGCGCGGGCAGACTCTCGAGAAAGAGGATTAGTAAAGCGAAAGGGAATCGCCGGGTATAATACTAGGCGTAATAGGCTTCGAGAAGCCTTGCGTTCCGTAGGCAAGGGCGAGAAGCCTCGAAATAACAGCGCCCTAGAGACGCGAGGAGAGGCTAGAACGGGCGGCGCGACGGTAACCGATAGTGCTACGGGCGCCGGGGATTTACTTCGGAGGGCGCCCGTTATAAGGAGGTCCTTATCCTATAGGGGCTTTACCTCTAGCGGCGGCGCGTCCTCTATCTCCTAGTTATCGCTAACATCCTCCTCGTCGTATCTATTATCGAACCGACGTATTAGCTAAGGGTTCTTAATAGGGCAACCGCTACGGCGGGATAATCGGGGAGTTCCCCGGGTTGAGCGTAACGATAGTAATATCGGAGCAGGACGGCTAGGTATCCGGCGCAGATATAGTACCTAGTCTAAGGTAGCTACGGCGATCCCCTCTAGGGTATTAAAATCGTACCTAGCTATATAGCCGGGTAATAGAGAGTATATAGTATTTAAAGTACGACTACTATACAGTATACGAGGTACTGTACGACCGACCGTCGAACGGCGAGGGGTCTTACGAGCTACTAGTTAGCGACGAGCCGCTAGGGTACGCGCTAGTAAGTCTCGGATAGGGACCGCCGGACGAGTAGTAGGACGAGTAGTCGCCGTAGGACCGCTACGCGGACAAGAGGGCGTATCGTTAGTCGAGGCGGGAACGATACTAGCCTTAGGTCGACGTAGGCTAGGAAGGGCGTCTCGAACAAAGTCTAGCAATACGGGACCCCGCTCTAGAGATAGGGTAACCTCGCGTACCTTCTCGCCGCGCCGACGAGAGGTTACTAGCGTCGGGACCGTAGCTAGAAGCTCCTTATCGTCAGACGAATATACTATAGGGCGACTACCCCGACGGCGACTCCGACCTATAGAGGGTACTAGTAGGGTTGCTTAAGGACGGGGCGATACGTAGGGAACCGCCGGGGCCTCGTCTAGGCGTAATACTACGGTAGGTACTACCTAGTAGAACCTCGTACGCGTCTAGTTAAAGGCGTCTACCGCGGTAGTAGAGGGACGCTACGATAGGGTTAGCTAGTTCCTAAAAACGGGGAGCGTCGTTAAAGACTTACCGCTAACGACCCTTAGAGGCGTTCTAAGGGTCCCTATACGGGATAGCGTCCTAGCGAACGCAATTGCTCTAAGAGCAGCAAGCCTTAGTAGTCTTAGGTCGACTGTAGCGCGAGAGTAGGCCTACCTACGGTAGTCCCCGTACGGTAGTACGCTACCTCAATAGTATAGATCTCTCTATTAAGGGTTCGCGCTATAAGATAGAGGCGTGCTGCCTAGCGACAGTACTCCTCGTCGCCCTCCGCGAGGGCGCGCGCGTCCTCTACGGAGCTTGCCGGGTAACTAGCCGTAACCTCTCTCTAGATCTTATTATAGGTATCCTTCTAGCGTTAGACGGCGATTACCTTGTTTAAGAGTCTTAGTACGGTCTGTATACAAACTCGTTAGTAAGGCGAACTCCTAGCGAGGCGGACGGACACTTACCCTTCCTATACTATTATATCCTGCCTTATTGTTGTTCGCGCAGCTATCGTATATACGGTATGCCGGCGTATTATACACTCGCCCTATAGCGATCGACTTTGCGTACCGTAGGCATATAGCTACGTACCCGGTTTCGTCTTAGTCGGCGTCCGACTAGCTATAGTCCTAGTTATTAGACACTATATCCTTTATATACGCAGCGGAGAAAGGAATCGTTACGTACCCCCGGGTAAACGCTATAATAGTCGGAGGGGCCTAATAAAGCGGCGGAGCCGGCGAGGGAAACTAAGGGACGAGGCGGGGCTACAAAGAGTAAACGAAGAACGAGAAGTAGAAGTGTAGCTATCTGGATACGGTAGTAGTAATAGAGCTATAGGCGGGTAAGGATATTAGTACGTAGTAGGTTATTAATAGGAAAGGAATAAGAGGATCGCAGAACGCGCGACGAACCTATTAAAATATTCTATCTCTATAGCGACACTACCGCGTACTCCCGACTACTACCTATAGAATTCGCGACGCGACTATAAGCAAACATTCTTAGCGACGCTTTACGATAGCGCGAACATAAGAGGGAATTTGTATACAATGTTTACTAATGCTAAGGTATAGACATTCCGCAGGTATACGCTAGCTCTACGCGGTACCTAGATAAGAGCAGACGTCTACCCCCGTTCGTAGGGCGAATACGTAGGGGACTAATAACCTGTCGCTACTAGGGATATTAGCCCTAAGAGGGGGCGTCTATAATACGCTAGGGCAGAGAAGCCCTAGCGAACCCCCGGCGAGGCGGGCGGGGCATACCGCGCGGGACGGGAAGCCCTCGCGGACCCCCGGCGATCCGGTATAGAAGGGATACCCTACCGATCGGAGACGTTCTAAATCAAGAGGGTTCCTAAGGGAACCGGTTATCGGCTGCTGCCTAAGAGGAGGCGGTACCGGTAGCGAGGAGTAGACAATAGAATAGCTTGTATATATAGCGAGGGCCCTCCTCTAGGAAGGAAGGGCAGAGTTATTATACCTTAGTTAGTAAGCCGTATATTGTTTATACCTTTTATAGCTTAGACCTCTGTTACGTATACCCTTACGCTTACAGAACCATTACAATATACTATATCTATATTATAGAGACTTATTATATATAAATATATCGATACTTATTTTATATAAGTATTCCTATTACTATTACTATAGTATTACTATTCTAGTAGAATAGTAAAAGTAATTAGTAATAGTAAGACTTTACGAAAATCTATAGTAATAGTAACTATAGCAGTAATTAGTAATTACTATTTACTATTTACTATTACTAATAGTTTTACTGAATTACTAAAATTCCCAACACTGAGGGCAAGCAGCTGAATTGTACCTAGTAGCTGAGCCCAAAACTTTATTTTTTCTTGTGTTCGTCCAAACGTTTCTTTGGTACCCCACCCGGAGGTAAAATCAAAAACAGGTATCAAAGACGTCAAAATTAGGCGAGAGCTGAGACTAGTCTTTTACCTGAACTAGAAAAGAGACCCTCTTTTGGGGATGGGGGACCGATTGACCGGTGTGCATGGACTGGACTGGACTGTGGATTGCTTTGTACCTATGATGGAGACAGCCCTGGGGCGGATGGAGAATAGGGGAGGTTGTAGTGGATTGTGGCATTGAGGACGAGGGAGGGAGGGAGGGAGGTTAGAGCGGAGGTATACACACATGCATACATTCAGGGAGAGATGTGACATTTTTCTCATTGTGGGAGTACTGCTGTCTCTCGGGTAGTCGAGGGGGAATGACGAGGTTTGTTTCAGATTGTCTTCTTTTTCTTCTTCTTCTTTCTCTTCTTCTTTCATTACAACCATCACCATGCCTGACTGGCCGAGAGAAAGAACAAACCGGGTCGGCGGCTCTGCTACCTGCTTCTACATTTACATGACCCCAAGCTTACTAAAAGCGTCAATAACCTCCTTATCAACATTCACCAGCCACAGCTGCTGAAACTGATCATTTCCACCCGTCGCGGCAACAGCACGCTGGAGCCAATACTGAATGTATTGAGGCAGATTGATCGTGTGCACGACATCTCCCGTCGTGAGTCGAGCTCTGCGAACATCCTCGGCGGTGCCAGGGCCGTATTCTTCATTGATGGCGTTTTGGTCTTTGAAAACTAAAGTGTCGCTGCCTATATCGGCTTCTTCTTCGCGGAGCTCGAGCAACATGCTGGTCCAGATGGTCATGAGAGATTGGAGATTTTCGAGGACGATGGGGAGGTTTGTTTCGAGGAGGCGGGTGAGAGCGAGGCATGTGAGCTTTTTGCGGGAGGGGTCGCCAATGTTCTCGAAGTGGGACGTCCATTCTTCGAGCAGCCATTTGAGTGTGGCGGAGACGTCTGTCTCGCCGAAGAGAGCGGCGGCGGATGCTTGGAGGGTGGAAATGAAGCCATCGGGGGATCCGAGCACGGCTCGAGCGAAGACGGCGAGGTAGTCTGTCTCCAGTATCCCATCGACTGGGGCTTCTTGTGCGTTGGGACCGGTGGTGCAGTGGGCAGCCCAGCTACCGCGTAAGCCCTTCAGAAGGGTAGAGAAGACGCCCAGATTCCCCTGTTGAGGATCCTGAGCCGAGGCCAGCGTGCCAATGATGAGTGAAGAAGCATTGGCGTGTTGGCCTAGAGGCAAGGCAGAACTTTCTTCTCCGTGTACCAAACGGAAGCTGATCTCGACAAAACTACAGACCAGCCCATGTGCGTCTGACTTGGGACCTGTGAGAATCTCCCCCAGCGCACGAAACACGTCTGATCGAATGGGGTCTTCCAGCATGTGTTGAGGCATGACAAGCAAGTATGACTCTGCAATCTCAAAGGCCTTTCGCAGGTTCTCGGTGCCGTGTTCAAAGAGCGGAAGGAGGTATTGCACCAGACTAAAGAGGTTGGGTGAGACGGATCCATCAGGCGTCTGCATGAGAACGGCATGCCACAGGTCGAGCGCATCTTCCAGCAGGAAGACGTGGGTATCTGATCCAGGTCTGACGGCACCCTCGATGATGGGTATGACCATGGAATGTAGCGGGAGCGATTCTGTCTTCATGGCATTGACCAGTCGGGTCAGGATGGTCAGAATCGCTTGTTTCATGAGATGCTCATCTCCCGATTGATCCCACAGCGGTGGCAGCAGGGTCAGGATGCGATCCGCAAAAGGGGTAATGTGCGAGTCGAGCCGTTCCACCACCACACTGATGGTATTAAGAATGGCCATCTTGGTCTCGGTCTGCTCGACTTCCCCAATCAGCAGCATGAGCTGGGTCAGGATCGTCTGCGCGTACGGCATGAAGATGGCTGCGTCGAATCCCCAGTCGTCGGCAATCTTGGCGAACTGTCGCCCGGCAGTCACACGCACCACTTGATCGTTGAGTGAATCGTCTGGGTTGAGGAGATGCTGAAAAATCTGATAGACAATGGGCTTGCTCTGGTCGGAAATCTTGACGGAGATCCACTGTCCTAGGAGAATGGCGAATCGACGCCGGAGGATGTAGTAGCCCGGTTCCTGAATCTGCACCTCTTTCACCATCACCAGATTGATGAAGCGGTCGAAGTCGAGATGCTGGTGGATAGCAGCGGCAGCAAGTCCTACTGCACTGTAGACAGAGTCCTTGAAAAGAATATCATCGTTGTCCGGCACTGCTGCCTTCTCAAACGCCTGCAGGAGAGGGCCCACGATCATGTCCTTGTAGTTGATGGCAAGATCCAAAAACAGCTTCTCAGCGCAGGACCGCGTCGAGAATTCCCAATCCTCTCCATCGCCGTCTTCACGCTTCTCCCATTCCTCCGGTTCTTCCAGCCATTCTTGTAGGTCGCTTTCCCTAAAAACGAAGTACCCGGTGACTGTGGTCTCCATGACATCTTGGATGAACGTCTCGGTGAAGACGGTGCCGCGCAGAAGTTCTGTCGCCCGGCTCTTTTCGTCCTTGTCCTCGGGCGAGCGGTATTTGAACGTCTGTGCCGGATTGTGAATCATCTTCGAACACGCACGCAGTATGAGAAGTGCCTTCAGAGCGATCTTCTCAATGTACGATTTGGGTTTATGTAATTCACTCTCCGTGCCGACTTCCCACGTAGCATCCTTCATATTTCTCACGCCAAAGTCTTTGCTGAAATCTTTGACGACATCCCAGTAGCGCTGGATCAAATGCAGCGACGCCGGCATGAGTGCAAATGCCGCGGGATGATCCTTGGCCATGTCGTGGTGCAGCTTCGCCAGCTGATGAGCGTGTTTACTGATGGCGAGCATGGTGCTTTCGGGGAAACGGCCATCCTTATTCTTCTTCATCATGATTGCAACAAATGCCGACAGTCGGTCGAATGACAGATTCCAGAAGGCTACCACGTCGGCATTGCGGTTGGGATGTTCATAACCCAGCACGAGAAGACGTCTCAGCAGTTTGATCGCCGCCAGACTCACCGAATCTTCGTGGTGGTGCATGTTGTCCGGGTTCGATTCCAATCCATTCATCCACGATTCCAGCTCGCGTACGTAGATGTTACCCACCACAGCCACGATCTCGGGCGTGGCTGCTTGCATGTACTGCTTCGTTCGTTGCAAACGTCCCGTGGAGAGCTCCTTGACGATGTACAGTAATGCTTGAATGGCCCTGCCCATGCGAGCATGTGGAGCGCGCAGCTCCTGGACGAATGCCGATATGGCGTCGGGCCAGTCGTTGGGATATTCGTACCTAGCAATTTTCGCGACGACGAGACCAGCCATCGGTACGAGGCGCCTGTCTTCCTCGGAGAGGAAGCCTTCTGCCAGCCGCGATCGAATGATCTCCTTCTCTTCCTTGGAAAGAGCGTTGACGGCGGTCTTTCGCCAATACTTGTCGATGCCATTTTTGAGAGCGATGATGGCCAAATAACGAATCTCAAAGGGGGAAGCCTTGTTCAGGTAGATGTCTTGGAGGTATCGGTAGAAGTTGGGCGCCTTTTCCCATTGTGCAAGCTGCTTGGTACCAGATTGGACCTGAAGGGGGTTCGTAGAACTTGCTGCATGTATCGTGTTCACCAGATTGGCCTCCGTCAGAGGACTGGCCTCGCCGGCCGCCTCAATTGCGAACGAAGCCATGTTTGACGATCATCTGTTGGTGCAGGGTACGACGAGGTTGAAGTTGTGTCTGGTATTCTTGTTCTGAAAGTGCGTACAAGTTCCGGCCGTCAAACATCAATTTCGTGATGTTTCGTGATTTATTGCAAGTGAGGATTCCAGTAGAACCATAGAACTAGAACTAACTTAATTCAAGCGGGTATTTCGGGCCTGTCCACGGGCGCTTACTGCCGCCGCTAGCAAGCACAAAAACCTTTTGCTCTTCCCTTTTCTTCTGCTTCCTCTTTTTCTTTTTCTTCTTCAAGTTGAAATTTGACCCCCAAAGCAGAAATTAGGCAGTGCGTCGTGCCGTTTCGATGGACGAGCTGTTGAACAGAATTGGGCAGAATGATTTATTCCTATCAAGAAGCGAGGCGAGCCATGTGGCAATGCGCTGCGACTCCCGTTATGGAAAGACAGACGATTGTGGTGACTGGGGACGGTCGAGAGTAGTTGATCGATCAGCTTTGAGACAACGAAGAAGTGAGACGTAGGGGTCGATGATTTCTGCGTTAGGTGATCGATAGTATACTTGCCTCCACCGTGACCATGTTGCCCGCAGCTTTGCTTTTCCCCCGCCTTGTTGCCGCAGTCGTCCGAGTCGGGGTGAGTGAGGGTGAAAGTAGACGGTGGACGTCGAATCGTCTCTGCCTCTGCGAGAAGCCTCTATAGACCTCCAGACAGTGCGTGCGTATCATATGGATAGACTAGCATCAAGGAAGCACGATGGAGTGATGCATGAAAATACCCGTACCCCTCCTGTCATCGGGTGACTGCGTAGAACGATGATCCAGGGCTGCTCTGCCGTTCCCGTGATGCGTGCAGTACTTACTCCTCTCCTCTTCTTCCCCTCCTCCTCTGCTTCCATTCCCACCGACCATACCATCCTCAGCACGCATCAATGTCCCTCGCCGCTGCCTCCAACACGACCTCCATCAGTCCCAGCAATCACCACTCCCTCGCCGACGTCGCAGCCGCTGCGACAATGGCAGTCTAGGGTGGATGGGTCACGCGAGCAAACACGCCCGATGGCCTCCTCATCTCTGAGCAGATAGAGCAGCAGTCCTGCTATAGCTGAACGTCGCCGAAAACTACCTCCTCCTACCGAGCTACTCCTCACCTTCCAGAGCGGAAACTCGCCCTCACACACGTGACCGAATCGACGGCCAAACCAACCCCGAGCTATCACTATACTACCTGACTCCTCTATTGTCTCTGTCAGACGTGACACACATATCGATTGTAGGATAATCAGCCTGGGACAATTCGGATCATCAAGGCTGCAACATGGTCAAGAGTCGTAAAGGGGGGCCTTCGGTGGCCTCGAGTAGTGCCATATCCTCTGCCATGTCGTCTCGTATGACTTCTGCGGCACCGTCACGAGCAACATCGCCCGGACCGGCCAAGAAGCCTTTCCGCTTCTTCGACCTGCCTGCGGAGTTGAGAGTCAGGGTCTACGAGCATGTCTTGTGCACGAAGAAGACGCTGGACTTGGGTGAGTCGTATTCCGCTCACCGTCGCTACATGAGGTGCTTCAACTGACTAGAGGCACCAGATCCGCTCAATTATCGCATCGTTCTGCCCCGCCTCACCCTCTTTCTGGTCTCGCGCCGTGTCTACAACGAAGCCTACCCCGTCTTCTACGGACAGACCATTCGTCTCTTCCCGCATCCCTATCACGGCAAGTTCTTCAACACGAAGAAGCCCCTGATTCAACGCTTGCCCGTGAAGTATCGTCAGGCAATCAACAGCGTCGAGCTCTTACTCGGGCCGGGATGGCACAAGCCACCGCGATGTCACAACGTGCTGCCGGCACTGGGCTTGCGAGACTGCACGAGTCTCCGCACGATCAAGATGTGGGTCGACTGTGATCCTACCGACAATGTGTTCAATGGCTTCCGAGGTCCGAATGCAACAGAGGATACATATGTCTGGTTCTGCTGCGACATGCTCCACGGCATCCTGGAGCAGGTGCCGAGCATGGAGCTCGTGGAGATTGACCACGACAACAGAGTGAAGAAGGAATCTCCGCTGACGGCGGCCTTGCAGAGAAAGACAGAGGAGTTTCAGAAGCGATTCCGATGGGGCCCTGTCCGAAGTGCAAGTGCCATCAAGGACAAGGAGAGCATGGATGTCACGACGGGGCTGGAGAAGGCGATGACGAGCATGGGCATATCGAGGTTGAATGACGAGGCGTCGAGGGCCGTGACTGTGGTGGCATAGGATGCCCTTCACAAGGGGCTCGGCGCCAGGAAGGTTTGATTGAAAGTGACGTTTTTTTTTTCATTCTACCTCCTACCTCCTAGGAGGTAGCAGAAGTTGAACTGTATCTTTGTCCCTTTTAGCGTTTACACACACACACACACACACACACACACACACACACACACCATGGCTGTCCTGTGAGATGAGACTGAACAGAGCCTCTCCTCTATACCAGGCAGTAGTAGAGTTTCTACCTACCCCGCCCTCGCTGGACTCTCGGTCAAAACTTCGTTAAAGCTTCTACAAGCTTGAGCGTCGATATCGATCAATGAATGGAATTGAATTTGAGATTTGAGATTCGATCTTTTCTTTTTTTTTTCCTTCTAGGTCGTAGATCCTTTTATCCTTTTATCCTGTTATCCTATTCCCGCTCTAAACTCCTCCTACGTATCTCCTAGGAGGTACGTTGTCTGTAGTAAGTAGAGAGGGGTCCTGATCACAATCGTTTACTGCAAGGGACTTTTTCACGAAACAAATATTGTGTCCTAAACCCCCTAGGGACTCGCCCCCTTGGATGTCGCGGTATAGATACAGATACAGACATGAAAAGGAGAAGAAGAAGAAGAAGGAGAAGGAGTAGGAGATGCTAGGGAATAGATAATCAGACGATCCTAACGGGCAACAAAAAAGAAAAATCAGCGTTTAAGCGTTGTTGGTATATGGCCTTATTACCGGGCGGCGGCGAGCCGCGAGTGGGACTTTTTTCTTTTATGCATCATCGATTCAGATAGTGATGACTTATCTTATTACCCCTCCAATAGCTTACTGGTGAGGTAAGGGTGGTACAGTAACAGGTACAGGTACATGTACCTGATCTTACCTATGTATTAGCCATTCCCACCCACCTTTTTTGATACTTGATGTTACACTTGAACTTGTATATTTCTGAATTGAGAGATATAGTGATACAGTGAGAAAGAGACGAGATATATAAGAGATAGGAGAAAGAAAGACAGAAGGGAAGAGAAAGAGAAAGAGACAAGACAACCCACCACTACCGACTACCAATACCAATACCAATACTACTACTACCACCACCACCACCATCATGGCAGCAACAACCGACTACAAATTCGAAGGATGGATGGGTCTGGACAAAGACTCCGCCCAAGGCAAAATGGTCTGGCAAGAGTTCCCCAAAGTCAAGACGTGGGAAGAGACAGACGTCGACATTCAAATCTCGCACTGCGGAATTTGCGGAAGTGACATTCATACGCTGCGATCCGGTTGGGGACCGACTCCTTATCCGTGAGTTTTTCTCTACTTTTCACGTCTAAATACTCAGTAATGGTGGTGGTTTTGCGACATGAGTGCTAACTCGAAACAAAGAGTCTGCGTCGGCCACGAAATCGTCGGCAAAGCCGTCCGAGTCGGATCCAAAGTCGGCAAAGGCATCAAAGTCGGCGATCGTGTCGGTGTGGGCGCTCAAGCCCTTTCCTGCTTGAAAGGTGACTGCGAAGAGTGTCAGAATGGAATGGAACAGCATTGTCAACACACGGTGAATACTTTTGCTTCGCCGTATCCGGATGGACAAATGTCATATGGAGGATATGCGGATTACAATCGCACCAATTCGCATTTTGTGTTTAAAATCCCCGAGGAGATTCCTTCGGAAGATGCGGCTCCCATGTTGTGTGGAGGCATTACGGTGTATAGTCCGTTGAAGCAGAATGGATGTGGACCGGGGAAGCGTGTAAGTCTCTTCTCTTTGACTCCTTTCTCCCCTTTTAAAAAAAAATATCACTAACCCCCCCTTTCCCAGGTCGGAATCATCGGCGTCGGCGGCCTAGGCCACTTCGGCGTCCTCTTCGCCAAAGCCCTCGGCGCCTCACGCGTCGTAGGAATTTCCCGGCACACAGACAAACGCTCCGACGTCCTCTCCATGGGCGCAGACGAATACATCGCGACCTCGGACGAACCCGACTGGAACAAAACTCACGCACGCAGTCTCGATCTCATCATCTGCACCGTCTCCTCCCCTTCGATGCCACTCATGAAATATCTCCAACTGCTGCGCGTCAAAGGAACATTTATCCAAGTGGGCGCTCCCGAGGATAAATTGCCGGATATGAATGCTTTTGCGTTTATTGCTAAAGGCGTGAAATTTGGGGGATCGATGATTGGTGCTCCGCATGAAATTGAGGAAATGTTGAAACTTGCTGCGGAGAAGGGGATTAAACCTTGGATTCAGAGTGTGCCGATGAAGGAGGCGAATCGTGCGGTCGTGGATATGGATGCGGGGAAGGCGAGGTATAGGATTACGTTGGTGAATGAGAAGTTTGCGAAGGCTTGATTTGATGGAGAGAGAGAGGGAGGGAGAGAGTAGAGTAGAATGGGATGGACTAGATTGTTTATGATTGATTGTCTGTCTGTAGATGGATAGGTATTAGAGTTATCATCCGTTCTTTTATACTTTTATACATCAATCAGAGAAAGATTCAATGAAATGAGAAACATGGAGACAAAAAGATAGAAGAAGGATAAAAAGAATCTTTGCTTCTAGAAAAAGTTATATCTCCCACCTTACAACAATCTAAACCCATCCCAAAATCACCTATCCATCCAATCCTCTCCTCTCCCTTCCATTCCATCCCCAACAAAAACTCCCCCCAATCACAACTTCGCCCCCCTCGGCATAAACTTCATAGCCTGCCTAACCCCCAAATCCGCCAACACCTCCTCCGCCCCCCCCAAAATCGCATCAAATTTATTCGTCCTCTGAAACATCTCCACCACACCCCCCATCCCCCCCTTCGTCAACGCCCTCCCCCCAAAAATATTCGTCGCATCATCCGCAATCTCATGCGCGGTGCGCGTGCAATAAAATTTACACAACGCAATCGGGCCCGAGAGGAGTTGGGCTTGTGCAGAGTAGGAGAGGTGGTTCATTTGGTAGACGAGGGATTCGATCCAGGATTGTGAGGCTTCGACTTTGGAAATCATGGAGGCGAGTTTTAGGCGGATGACGGGTTGCTGGATTAGGGGTGCGGAGAAGACGTGCCGTTGGTGAGACCATTTGAGACATTCTTCGAGGATGGTGCGTGACCAGCGGGTTACCATGGCGCACATCATGAAGCGTTCGTGGTTGCTGGGGAAGGTGTTAGTAGTTGGAGAGGGTAAGGGGGGAGGGAAAGGGGGAGCGGTACAAGTTGGACATGATGACTTGGAAACCGGCGTGTTCGGGACCGAGAATGTTTCGTTTGGGGACTTTGACGTTGTTGAATTCTATGTAGGTTGTTCCGGCTGCTGTGGAGTAGGAGGTTTTGATGAGTTTGGTTTCGACGTTGGAGTCTCGTTCGATGAGGAGGACGGTGTAGCCTTTGTCGGATTTGCAGGCTGTGACGAAGTAGTCGCAGAAGATGCCGTTGGTGATCCACTATTGAGAAAAAAAGAAAAAAAAGTCAGTATGGATGAATAAAGAAAAGAGAAGAAAAAAATTCTTCTTTTCTCACCTTCTTAGTACCATTAACCACATAAAACTCCCCATCCTCCGACAAAGTCGCCGTAGTTCTCAACCCCGCAACATCCGACCCAGCAAAAGCCTCCGTAACAGCCAAACAAATCTTCTTCTTCCCGGACAACACCTCCTGCGAAACGCGTTCCCGCAACTCCTCATCCCGACACCACTGATGCACAGCCGTCAAAGAAATCGTCATGCCAGCCATATTCCCATCCTGAAAACCTCTCATATTCGTCCTCACAATTTCCTGACTAACAATCAAATCATGAAAATAATCATATTCTTCCCCCTTCACCACCCCGCCAAAAAGTGTTCGACCACGTAAATGTTTTCCCGGACCTAATCTGCACGCGAGGAGATTGACATCTGCCATTTTATCGATCAACTCTTGAGAAATTTGCGTCCCATCATCTTCTTTTTCTTTCGCTTCAGGCAAAATATGCACTTCCGTAAATTCTCTGACCGCTTTTTGTAGCCGGCGATGACTCTCATTATAATACGGACTCTTAAAAACAGGACTCAACCAGAGGGGTTCGGCATAGGGTACCGTCGAGAGATCTCCTGGTTGCGGCGTAATGACTTCGGGGGTTTCGCCTTCGAGAGGTCCGAGACAGAGCGCTTTGTACTGCGTGAGGACTTGTTGGCGGTGCAGGTTGTAGAAGGCTTCGGTGGCATCTTGCCCGGCTACTTGACGCAGAACTACTTCTCCGCCCGGGTGCGCTTCGAGGAAGTCGGAGACGTCGTAGACTTGGTGGTCGACGATGAGCCAGATGTCGTCTTCGGATGTGTGCTGGATGGGGGGAGAGAGAGAGAGAAAGGGGTTAGCACGGGCGAGGTTTGTTCGTAGTGACTAGTTGTAATAGCAGTAGTAGGTCAGGTAGTAGATTGTACCTTGGCGACTTCTTGTCGTGTCAACGCTGGTCCTCCTCCCATAATGTCTGGTGTTGTTGTGGTATCAATATTCCGTCTGTATTCAAAGATGAAAAATAGTGAAATATATCTCAAAAAAGGACTTGTCCTCGAGACAGATCAAACAATCTATTACCTAGGTAGCTATCTATCCCAATCCTTTTCCTGCAAAAGAGACCGAGGTCCACGAGAACCATCTCTAACCGAAAAAAAGACTAATCAAAGACTACTGATTGGATACAATCAGCCGCCTCCCCCTCCCCGCCTTCTAGTCATTTCTAATTCTATATTTCTTATACTATTTATTAACCAATTAATTAGGAGGTACTTGATTGATTAGTTTGTTAATTAATTCATTGGGTATAATGATTCGAGGTTATTGAGGTATTGAGGTTACTGTGCGGTGTAAGAGATGGTGTGGATTCTGTAGACTGCTTGTTGGACTGTGAGGAACTGTCGCTTTGTTGATTGTCTTCTTTTTCAGGTACTTCTTCTACTTCTACTTCTTCTACCAAGTCTAGCGAGTAGGTAACGAGGAGAGGAGAAGAGATGAGGATAGCTCGTATTCTTGCATACCTAGATATCCCTCATCGTCTCTATCTCACTCTATACACACACACATATACCTCCCCTCCTCACATCTTCGCCTCACCCCCCTTCTTCCTCCCCCTAACCGGCGGCCCACCCATAAATCTCTTCCAATCCCCATCAACCCTCTGCCTCTCCCTCCTCTCCCTCCTCCACCACCCCTCCTCCAATCTCCTCCTCCTCTCCCCAAAACCCTCCAATTCCCTTTTAATCCACTCAGCCGCCACTTCGGCAGTTTTTCCCGGAGCTTCCATCGCAATCAAATGTCCCACACCTTCCAACGTCACCCCTCCAACTCTCCCTTCAGCCTCTCCTCCACTTCCTCCGGCTCCAATGCCTGTTCGGGAAACTTTGTCGCAAGCTGTCGACTTGTCGCAGACGAAGGAGAGTTGACCGAAAATGTATAAGCACCCGGGACGCAGCTCGGGGAGGCGGAGGTAGGTTGTAATGGGTTCGCTTCTGTAAAAGGGGGTTTGGTTGGGGAGGCTGGGGTTGAGGTCGGGGTGGAGGAAGCGGTCTAGTTTTTTCTTCTGCTTCTTCTGCTGTTCGCTGCTACTGGGAACTTCTTCTTCTGATGAAGATTCGGGGGGATAATTCGGTCGTAGAAATGACCAGACTTCTTGTGCGGACGGAGTTGCTAGACATACTCCTTTGCCTTTTTCTTTTTCTCCTTTTTCTCCTTTTTCTCCATCACCATCCTCATCCTCACAATCCCGCAAACCAAATTTCACCCACTTCTCCAATACCCGTTTATCCCACGTCTGATAATAAGGAGATTTCAGAAACGACGCGTGAGCGATTTCGCGCGAAGGCCAGTGATCTCGGCGAAAAGTGGACGCTTGTGCGGCAGAAGGGACTTGGGAAGAAGGGTCGATTTCGGCGGATTTCATCTGGATGACTGGGTCGAGGAGGATGAGGGTTGTAAAGAGGGAAGGATGGTCGAGGGCGAGTTTTGTTCTGGATAGAGGTGGAAAAAGAAAAAAAGGGGAGGACATTAGTTTCTTTTTTTGATACTTTTTTTTTTTTTGGTTTTGCTGATGTATGCATTGGAAGTTCTTTTTTTGAGGGGGTAAGAGGGAGAGAAATGGGGAAAAAAGGATTCTTTCCTTTTCTTTGCCCATTCCTTTTCTTCTCGGGGGAAAAAGAAAAAAAAAGAAAATACATACATTTGATTCCCACCCATACTATGACCCACCCCCACAATAGGCCTCACCATCTCCTCCCGCCTCAAATTAATCAAATTCGCCAAATCGCGCGAATGATCATACCAACCAGGAGAATTCCCCACCAGCTCTTCATTCATCTGATAACTCTCTCCATGCCACGCCACATCCGCCATCCAAATGCTCCGGATACGCCACCCACGAAACCGTGCCTGGGCGGCGAGTTCATCCCACAAAGGTTCATAGAGTTCTTTGTGGTAGCCGACGGCGTGGGCGGCGATGATGGTGACATCTCCGGGTTGCGGATGGGGGTTGTTGAGGGGAATGTATTGGTTGACGGCGAGATGGAGAATGTCTTCTTCGGAGTGGAGGGTTGCTTGGGGGAATTCGCGGAGGTGGGCGGCGGGGATTTTGTGTTTGATGATGCGGTAGTTTTCCATGGTGAGGGGGGTGGAAGAAAGGAGAGGAAAGAAAGAGGGAAAGGAAAAGAAAATCTGGGTCTGAAGACTGGATTTGTATGGGAAGGTCTGATATGTAGTCGTTGAATGTTAGTGTCACACGCGAACTGCCGGCGATTGCTCGCGTCGTCAGAGCCGAGGTCGCGTGAAAGACGGGCAAATATGACACTAAAGGGCTCATGTCCGTCAGGTAGGTAGAGTCATTCATTGAAACCTCTTGCAAGAAATACCAAGTGAAGAATTTTGATGCTCATTTACATATCACCAGTCACGGACATCCTCTCTCTACTAATGTTATTCATATGCTCTCCTACCTAGCGAGATGTTGCATCAAAACTACTGAAACTCAGGTAAAGATATATACTCAGCGACACATATCGCCTCAAAAGCCTAGACACTTTCCGAGATCTGATGTGCGATACGGAGTCATACACTTCACACGCATCTGATCCACGGGCAGACGGTGCAACCAATAGCTGTTGGCTGCCTCTTCCGTAATGCCCACCTTGACATCAAAAGCCAACGGTTTGGCCCGGTCCGACTTTGTGCAAGTCACATGAATAATGTACCACGAGGTCCCTCCAAAGGACGTGCTCCTATCGGAGGTTTTGGCGAGGAATGTATGCGCAGAACGTGGTGCAATATACGGTCCAAACTCATCCTCCTTGTCGGCGTATTTGGTGTAGAACTTCTGGAGTACAGGGGCGCCAGCGTGGTAGACTCTCTCGAGGTAGAATTGAGTACCGTTGTTCACGGCAATTCGGCTTTGCACGACGGACCAGAGGTGGTTCGTATGTTCACCAGGCTGGAACAAGATGCGATACAGAAGCTCGCTCAGCATGTTGAACTCCTTTTGGTTGATGCTGTGGTGCGGGGATTGATAGAGTCGCTCGCATAGTCGCAGTGTGAAGGAGCTGTATTTGACGGTTTCATACCACTCTTTCAGACAGATCGAAGTCTTGGGCCTTTTCCGTGCGTGTTGTAGAGAGTTGTACCGAGACACCACGTGCTGCCCGTGAATCACATCCGCCCATGCAACAGTATTGTCTCTTTCGCTGACTGGCCGGAATTCGCCCAATGCTTTCTTTGCTCTTTCAGCCAAGCTGACTCTGCGATGGACCGATTCTTCCATGGCACTGATGCTGAGATGCGATTCTCGTCGGAGGTTGGAAACGTTCCACTCGGGTGGTGTATATGGAGGAAGAACGGTGTGAGTCCGCGAATCGATTCTAATCTACTGAGGATAGAAGGGGTGCTCGGCCGTGATCTGGCACCTATATGTAGTCTGTCAATATGCTGCTGCTGCTGCATGTCTGTCAGCTCTGTCCGAGAAAGTGATATGCGAGACAGATGGAGCGAACGGCGCTGAGTATGATCGTGAGACAAGTAGCGGTATACACTTGACGACCCCGATTGTTTCTTCCTTCGCTCCCATAGCCACCACGAGGTCTCAGGAAGGCATGTCTGTAGCAGTTCAGAGCAGCGTGTTCATCCCGGACTGCATCCAAGGGCAAGCTGGGCGCAATCATCGCATAGTATCGCGAGCGGAAACGTTCGAGCAGGCCATTGTCGCCGTGAGGACAACGACCGTCTATGCAATGAGTGGTATTGGTATCGTTGGACGTGATGAAGGGATTTTGCTACAATGGGAACGCGATGAAGGTGGAGGATTCATCTGTGTCAACAGCCCCGAACATCAGCTAGCCTTGACTGCTCTTGGCTCCACGAAGGAATAACCTCTCTCCCCCTCTTTCCCGCCTCCATCCATTCACCCTTGGAAATGTTCTTCGTTCTGCCATTACGAAGATGTAGTTTGACAATCCATCATCATAGGCTGATTTGCCACTGAATACATACATGTACATAGTTCTCATCAATCCAACATGTCACTCACCACTCAAACCCTACCCTCCTCCTCCTCTTTCACCACCTCCAAACTCAACAGTACCACCTATATAATCCAAGAACACGACGCCTACTCCGAGAACCCCTTCATCTACGTCAAACTCCATCCCAAGCTCCCCATCATCATCCTCTCAGACACTGGCTGTGACGAGCCCTCTTCCCAGCACAAGCACGCTCAGTACACGCATCTGCGAGACTACATCGAGAACTTCCCCCTCCCAAGCAACAACCATCAACCTCTCAATCCCGGCTCGAAATTGAAATACTGCATCATCTGTACCCATTGTCACTACGATCACATCGGCGGCATCAGCCAATTTCTCGCCGGAGGCACCACCCAGATCATCGCTTCAGCAGCAGGGAGAGATTTCATCGAGGATGACGAGGATGGCAAGCACAGTCTGTTCAAGTTCCTCTCACCCGCCAAACCTGCTCCGTTTTACTATGTGACGAAATGGGCGCAAGCCTTCGAGAAGCTGTACTTTGAAATCCGAGATCGCGAGAGAGATATCGTGTTGAGGTTTGATGTGGGTGTCACGTTTGTACAGCAACCGGGACATACGCCGGATTCACTGGCGTGGTATGATCGGGAGGAGATGTGGTTGTATGTGGGAGATAGTTTGTATGCAGCGGGCGCCGAAGGCACAGGGGGAGCGAGTATCGTATTTCCGCCCGATGGGAATCTGATTGAGTGGGTGGTCAGTCTGCGAAAGTTGCTCGTGCTGGTTCGGTCGGAGAATGCCAAAGCTGATAAGCGAGAGAAGAGTGTCGAGGAGGGATGGGAAGTGATCTCTCGTAGAGTCAAATTGGCTGCGGGTCATGTCACTTCTGCGGCGGATGCAGAGGAGATGATCCAGAAGACGGATCAGTTCTTCTATCAGATCTTGCAAAAGAAAATTCCCGTCGTCAGGAAAGGTTATCATTGGAATGATGCGTATTATACGTGGAGCAAAGAAGGCTGGGACTTGTCCATGCGAGCCCCGCCCAGACTGATGGATCAGGCGAGGGACTTTTTCAATATCTATGGTCCGGAGGATACTGGCGGAGAAGCCTGGAAATCATTGTAGGGCGTTTCTTTCTTGAATCTTCAGTATGGCTATGAAACTGCTCGGCGTCTGATCGAACGATCATGGGGGGGGGGTTTTTCCTTGGATGCGATGAGGGAGCCCTGGCCTGACCTGCACTACAGACTTTACTCGAATCTCATCCTTGGAGTCAAGAAGTATCTCTGAGACGGCCGGCCAATGCTTCGATGGAGGGAGTGTCTTCTCGTGGCTGTATAGTAACGAATTATTGCACGGGGTCTGGTAATCCAATGGTCTTGTTCTGACTTTCTCTTTAACCCCCTTTCACCACACCACCACTGGCCGATCTTCCACTTCGAATCTAAAGGCGCGCTCCTAGACGGGGATCGAGATGTCCATTCTCGTGACTTTCATGGCCTCGTTCACGCGTCTTGTGTGTATTGGTGCGTCCATTCGGGGCGCTGAGTATAAGGGGAATACTATCGATCTACTGTGTCAGCACTTGTATGTGGTGTTGAATACTGGCCCGAGCATCACGGTCCGATCAGAGAGCTGACATGCTATCCAGCTAGAGGAGGCGTGATCTCGCATGTTCTTAGGGGTGGTCATTGGCAAGAATAAATCATGTGGTCTGCGTCGTCTGGCCGACTGGGCACCGTGCACGTTACTCTTTCAGAGTCATATTTTCAAGACGTCAGCGGACGAACAAGCCACAATAAGAACACTCCATTCACACAGGAATTCGACACAGCTTATCCGTTCGAGACAATTCTAGCCATTCTCATAGCAATCATCTCACGCCTACATCTACCTCCTGAGCTTGCGGGCACACGAAAACTAGCACCACACCCAGTTCGCAACGCAATGGCATCCGACGACAATTTCGGGCCTGGCAAGCACTTCCGCAACCGCGCTGAGTACGAGGCCGCCTGGGCGGAATTCGATCGAGCACGAAGCTTTGAAGATGATGACGACGAAGAAGACGAAGATGGAGGTCCTTCGTTCATCCCCCGATCAGATCCCAATGATCCAAGCAGAATCTTCCTCCGTCCAGCTCCTCGCTCTCCTGATGCTCTTCTCCGCAACCTCTCCTTGACAGACGAGCAGAGACGACAGCAACTCCAGCCGCCATCAATTCCCACTCCCGCAGTCGTTCGTCCGGCCCCGAAGCACTTTCGACAAATCATACCACTGCCCCCTCGCCCTCCCGCGAGCGTTCATCCGTCCCAGAAGCACTTTCGAGAACCCATACCACTGCCTCCTCGCCCCACCGCCGCCGGAGTGCCAGGTCAGACTCCTTCGAACCGTTCAGGAAGACAGCAGTATTTTTCCCATGCGATACCGATTGTTGCGCCTCCCAGTGGACCACGCTCAAACCTCCCTTCCGCCCCTGCCCTGACGATCCAGACTTCGCTACCACCACCACCACCACCACCACCACCGCCACCACAAGCACCGAGAACAAAACGCACCAAGAGGTCGAATAATTTCATGCGCCTTCCTCGGGAATACCCACGACCCAATCCGCAGCAATTTGGAGACAACAACACCGGTAAGTCAGCTCCTCGTTGCGTCGTCTTCGTTCGTAAAAGAAGACCTTCACCCCCAATTTTCTCACTGACCGAATACCCGACTAATCAATCCAAAAACAGGAGCTTTAATACCATACACCTCCCAAGCCATCCGACATGTACCTTCTCATCCCTCCCACCATCCTCTCCCACCACCAAATTCCCTCGTGCAGGCCCCATATAGCGACAGAATAAATCCAACCGCTCCAGCAAACCCAGTCGTCCAGGAAGAAGATGCTCTCTCATCACCAGAAGAGCTACGACGACGCGACGAGGAGACTTTTACAAGTAGTAGTAATAACCGTGAAGCAGAATCTTTTTCTGCCCTCGAACGACAGACCGATTCCAGCTCGAGTACGTATGATACTGCTTCCGAAGACGTTCGAGGTCGCAGGGCTGGTTGGGGGGAGATTTTGCCGGGAGAGGAGAGTTGGGCTGCGAAGAGGGGTGGGAGGGGGATGTGATCAGGGAGGAGGAGGAGGGGGAGGAGGAGGAGAAGAAGAAGAAGAAGAAGAAGGGGCAGGGAGAAGGAAGGAGGTGATTCGACTTTTGTTTTTTTCTTTTGTTTTTGTTTTTCTTTT